CATTTCTTTTTTTTGTTGTTTTTTTGGGGTTTTGTTTTTTTTTTTGGTACCAGGGATCGAATTCAGGTCCTCATGCTTGCGCAGCAGGAGGCGAAACCACTGAGCTAAATCCCTGGCCCAGAGGTCATTTCTTTAGGTATATCAATGACTAATGGAATTTAGCTCAAAATAGCCAGCTATCTCAACACAATTTATGAATTAATTTGTCTTTCCTCAACTTACCAAGGCTGCCTTTATCATAATAGTGCATCTCCTCTCAAGTGTCTGTCTCATAGGGATCTCAAACTCAGTGTATCCATAACCAAAACTCATGGTCTCCTCTCTTCTCTCATGTTCCCCAACTCTGTGAATGGCCACTTCTAAATTTTCATGTCCAAAACTTGGTTACAGCATCTCTCTTCATCATCAATCCCTCCCTCCACACACATACTAATTTTGTCAATTCTGTCTCTAAAATACAGCTCTAATCCATGACATTCTACCCAACTCTAACACCAAGACTGTAGTTCAATCCCTTCTTATCTTCCCTGGACAGCAATAACCTCCTCCTTGAGCCCAATAGTCCTTTCTTGGTCACTCTAGCACAGTGGTGGCAAACCTATGGCACGCAAACTATTTGTATCATTGAGAGCTCTAAAAGGCTTGCCGTCACTGCTCTAGCACATTAAATGTATAAGATCATGCAATCTCCCTACTTTAAACCCCTGGTGGTCTCTTTTGCCTTTAGGGGAAAAAAGCCCAAAATTATTTATGTGATAATTAAACCTGTATGATCTTCGCCCCTGGTTACCTCTGCTTCATACCACCTTCTGCTCTCACACAACTTCCAGACACAGTGTAACTTTTCCACTTCATGAAAGTGCACAGCTGTATTTCCTCTCTGGGGCTTTACATATGATGTTACTTCTCTATTCCCAAATGATTATATCACCCAAACCAACTACATTTGCCAATTATTCACCTGCTTTTCCCATAAGATAACTGCTGTATCAGCACCCAGTATCTATAAAAGTTCAAAAGACCCCAAAGAAACATTAGGTCTTAGTAGGCTGTGCTGCTTTATCATGATCAAATAAATGCACAGATTCTTTAAAATAATCAAAATCCCCTCCCATCTGGGCACCTGTTACCCTACCCTGAGCCTGAGGGGTCAGCAGAGACCAAAAAGAGGAATTCAGGCCTAGCTTCAACTCATCCCTTCATCTTCCACACACAGAGGTGGCCACCTCAACAGCTTTTTAGTAACTCTTGCCTCTGGTCAACTTTATGAAAGCTGCTTTCCAAAAGCACCAAAATGCAATCTTGTGTTGTCACCTGGAGAAATCTGAGCCTCATAATACAAGGTGTATAAAACCATAAAAGGGTGTTGACACATTCACCAAAGAGAGCAACTCTCCTGCTGTTGCTACCACACAACCCCTCCCATCCCTCAGTCCATGCCCTACAAGAACCTCACTTCCTCTTTTGGATTCTGAGCTCATGGAGTGCAGCACTCTCCTCTCTTGGCACGCAAGAGAAACAAAGGGGTGTGCAACCAGCATAGCGCTTTTCTGAGATTTCAGCCTAGGTTTCAAGGCATATTTGTACCCTTATTCTTGTTACCTCTTCCCCAACACACACCCTTCTGTGAGTGTCCCTGATGCTTCCTGAATGGCAACAGTACTCTGCTTCACAGCAAGGCTTCTCAGTCTGAAGGTACAGAACCCCAAGACATTTCCGGTGAAAAGTGGGCTAGAGATTTTCTACTACTAATCACAGAAGCTTGACCATATTGTTCTTTGAGGATATTTTAATCTCTATATGATTTAACTCTGACTGTGATCAGCTAAATATCTATGTAACTGAAAAACAAAATTAGTCATTTTTGAAATCTAAGTGCAAAATACAATCATTTTGAAAAATCATACCACTCTGTAATTATACATGCTTAGGAAGGTGACATATAGCAGGTAAATGATTCATTTTACTGCCTCCAAAAAAAAAATATTACCTTGCATCCCCTTACTCTATTAAATAGTCAAGATTACACTGATATTTTTTAAATAGCCAACAGATTTGTATCTTTAAAATATGCTGACACCATGTCAACAAGAACTCTGAAAAACAAAGATGCCTGAGCTATTTTCTGACTCAATATGACACTTCAGATCAGCCAAAAGAAAAAACACATTAAATTTTTTATTAGTCAAGAGAAGCCTGTTGGAAATCAAATTCTCTTGCTTTCACTTATAAATGCAATGTATCACTTGGCTCTTTCAGGAGCAGCCCCTTCAAAGAGATTCTTTCTTTTAAGTATTTGTGCACTTCAGCTGAAGGCTAGGGAGCAAATGTCCTAAGAAAGGGCACCATTTCAACTCACACAGCTCAAGAAATCTAAATCGATGGTAACACTCCATATTTAATTCTGCATTCGGCTTCTGGAGGCCAGCTAATGCAATACATATAAAAGTTACTTTGGAGATCACATTTTAACTTGCCAGTTAAAGCGCTGGTAACTTTAAGAAATGTTCTAAAGAAGTTATCCTAACATAATACGATTATTTCACTTTCAAGTACAATTTATAAGGAACTTCAGGGGAATAGCTGGGTCAGAAAAATACTAGGGGTCTTGAGTTTAACAACCTGGATTTTATTCCTGGTTCCTTCTTACTGGTTGCACGACCACTGGCAAATCATCCTACCATTTGACCCTCCATTCATTATGTGTCAAACATAAGTGGTGTTATTTGACTTTGTCCTGAATTCCACATTCTAGTTATACTTTAATCTCATAGTGAACGGTCACATCTGGCCTTCCCCCCACAACATCAGACACAGCTGTTTAAATTGTAAACTAGATAGAGTCAGACATTAACAACAGTAATTTAACTGTGATCTTAACAACTTCAGCATAGGAATTTTTCTTTCCACATTAAGCTGAGAACTTCCACCCTTCCACTTAAAGGAAACACATTATAGCTTCTTGTTGGCATATCCAAAATGCCAGCATCATTACTCTTGCACTTTTGGGGCCTAATTCAGTAAAATGAGGACTAACTGAATGCAAGCACTGTGACACCTCCTCTAACAGTCAATCTGATAGCTGAGGGACTAATGGGCAGTACTGTATACAGCAGGGATGCGCTGAGCAAAGAGATGATTCATGTCCTGGGCTGGATGGAGCAGGAAGGTGAGAGGTTTCATGTCACTCAGAACAGTGTGCAATTTAAAGCTTATGTGTTTATTTCTTGTATTTCCCATGAATATTTTCAGACTTCACTTAACCACAGCTATCTGAACCTGCAGCAAATGAAACCATGGATAAAGAGACTCCTGTACTTGCAATGTATCCAGCCCAGCTGTCAGTGATTCATTTCCCTCCAATCTCCCAAAATTGAGGAGAAAGCATTATGTCATTAAATGCTGGAGAAAACACTGTCATTTATCATTACTGCTATTTCCCTGGTTCTCTCATCCAGAAACATCCCAGAAGGTGATGATCACTGCCCTCTGGCTAAGAAACCAACACTGCTAAATTGTTAAAGATGAGCAGCACTTCATTGGCATAATCTGTGCCATAAGTCTGGAAACTCAACTCCTTGCTTTTGGAGATTCCCAACATCACGAGCTGACAAGGAAGGGAGGAGCCAGGAACAGACATATTCATTATTAAGAGGAGATGATCTAGGCTGTGGGTCAGGTATCTGAGGCCAAGAATCCAGTGTGAAGTTTCCAAAGGAATGAGCAAGCTGGAGGAGGCTAACTCCACTCATCTCTAAATCAAGCAGGCTCACCTGGTCTCAGCAGAGCAAAATGACAGGAGGTCTAGACGGTGTCAACTTTTCAATCAAGACAGAGCTTGAAGGAATCCAGCCGCTATCAAACCCCCTACAGACCACAACCAGAATAGCAAAGCTAGCCAACAGATGGATGTGCTGCCAGATTTGCCACTTGCAGGCTGAGGTTCAAGGGACAACTGCAGGTCTACCAAGGGTCTGCAGTGTGGGACACTAAAGAGCCAGTCAGAGAAGGTCACTCTGCAAGACACAGGCTGTAACCAGCACAGCCTCCAGTTCCTAGGACCCAGATGGGCTTCAACAGAATAAATTCCAAACCCCGCTTTCTAAAGGAGGTGAGGTACCTAATGTGGGTCCGAATGGGGATGAGGATGATTCTCGAAATGACTGCCACTAATGGAGGGCAGGTAGAGGGAAAAAAAACTCACCTGCAGTCAAAATCAACAGCCCCCAAAGGACAAGTCACATAGCAGGCTTGGCTCTCTGTACATTAGTTGCCCCCCTTCAAAGACTTCATATCCAGAAGGTCCTGAATTCAAATGACCTCCTTATTAATTGTCATAGCTTAGAATCAAGCTCTGCCCAGTGCAGAACTGCAGCCACCTGGAACCAGCCAGGTGAACAAGAACCTGTCCATCCAAGGGTGCGTACATACATGGCTCTCTTTGGGGGGCTTCTCAAACACAAGTAAGCTCTTTGTGTGCAATAAATACAAAATCAGAGCTAAAACATGCTAGTAAGAAGAGGACCAAGGATACAAAGAGAAATGGAAGGAATAAGAAACAACAAATGTTACACACATACAAATAGATCAGAACCAACACTGTCAGCAAGTCTCTCAAACTTTCCTCAGTGTCGACTGGTACACAGTCTAATCTGAGTAGATGGGTTCACAAGGTCAACCCTGACATGTGTATAAATAGAAGAGCTTCCTTGCTCAAAATCACCCTTTCTCACAGAACGTCCAGAAATGCCAGCATCATTACAGTCAAATATTGATGCTAAAGCACATTCCACATTCTACATTAAAAACAGTCAAATGCCAGTGACTAAGTAGAAAGATGCATGCTCCTGAAAATTAGGGGGCTTGGATAAATGGGGGGACTGCAGCTACATGTGGAAGTGAACAAACCGACCAAAATAAACTTTACATTAGTAAATCAGCAATGCTTTACTAATCATGCAAAAATAAGGAAATACAGAATAGAAGGCATGGCACCTTACCCAAAAGCCCTGCTAAGGACCGCATGTCCTTCTCCATCAGCATGTAAATCTCTTCCTCTGAGAAGCGGCCAATGCCGTGGCCATGCATCTCGCGCTTCACAATTCCTTTCGTTATGTGGCACACGACCCACCTCAGCAGGTTACTGAAGGGACCGCCACCACTAAGAGAGAGCATCTTCCGGGTCTCATTGAGATTGTCCACCCACTGGCAATAAGCTAACGTCCTGGAATTGTGTGGAAACAAGTTACTACTGTGCATCAGGTATGTATCAGCTCCACAGAGTCACTTTTGAAAGAATCATTCACAATTTACACACTCTGAAGGAACAGAATAACAAAGAGCAATCTGCATGGCAGATATCACAGCAGGTGGTAGTTGATGCCTAGACTTATGCGCCTATGAGAAAAATGGTAAAAAATCCAGGTAACAATACCATATGTTCCAGTTCCACAAAACCTCCGGAACTCCCTCCATGCAACCCCACAGAAAACAGGAAGAAACCTACTTTAAAGTCTTTTGTTCAGGATGTGAGTCCCTGCGGGACACGTGGCAGCAGGCAGTAGTGACTGGGGTGAAATCGTTCCCTTTCCCAGGCACGGTTCCACAGGTATGTGGTTCATACTAATTAAGCTGCACACATCTGTTTTGTGCATTCTGTTTATGAATCTTATATTTCACAATATAAAAGAATTTTCTTTAAAACATTTGCCTTTGTGACAGAGGGATAGGGAAAAGGTATACCTCTCCATGTATATGACACATTATATAAATCATAAATATTATGTAAATGATTCGCTGTCCTGAAAATCAGCTCTACCTCAGTGTCTTCTCAAGGGCTCTAAAGTGAACACAAATACCCAGGGACTTGGATGAATCACTTTTCCCATCTGGATGAAGCTTACAGTGAATGCAACCAGCAAAGTGTTCCTGCATAAGAAGTGTGAAGAGCTACTCTCTGTCTAAGCATCCTCTTGACTGCATAACTCAGACCTTTGCTGATTTTGTTCTCCAAACCCCTACAATTGCAAGAATGTTTTTAAGGCTAATACAAGTTTTAAATGTTTCCTATTAAAGGCTAAAAAGAAGTAGCTATTGGAGTACAGACATAGGACATACTAGTGTTTTGCCTCATAATGATTAAAAAAAAGAAATGTAGTGACTATATCCTTACTCCTAGTATATTTTTATACAGCAGTAATGGCCACTTCAAAAAAATCAGAAATGTGAAAAATATTTTTAGAGAGAACATGGGGATAATGGTAAACTGTAGCTACAATGAAATGGTATTTTCTACCTTCCAGGGAAAAAAGAGACCAAAAAAAAAAAAAAAAAAAAAGCCAGGGTGGCACCACTCGGTAGGCTGAGGAAGGAGGATCACTGAGTTTGAGGCCAGTCTGGGCTACATAGTAAGCACAAGCCCAGCCTGAACTACATGGTGAGACTCGGTCTCAAAACAAAACAACAAAAAGACTCTGAAACTTTGACCATTTTACACAATTCTGATCTCTAATTAATGAAAATAAGAAAGAAATGGGTATCTCTACTTTTTTTTGAAACATTCCTTTTACTGCAAAATTCTATAACCAATTTAACATACACTATGTACTACAACCATAATTGCTCTTTATTACTTTTTTTAAATGCCCACAAATATTGTTAGAAAAATTTATGTAACTATTTTTAGTAAGTTTCTTAAAATGAAATATTGCAGAGTCAAGAAATGGATTTTGCTGAAAATAGGAAAAAGCACGTCACAAAGGTGAATAATCAGTGTGTATAGTTAAAAGCATTCAGTGGATTTTTTGATATAAATTATCCCACATTATTCTGATAAATTCTATATAAACATGAAAACTAAATGCTTTTCTACTTGCTTTTCTTTTTACACCTGCTGTTATTAAGGTGGCAAATTTTACATTGCACTAAAATAATTGAGCACTTTAATTCTAATTGTGTTTTCACATGGCATTAAAATAATTGAGCACTCAGATTTTAATTGCACTAGATCTAAATTCACACTTAAAAGATTATTTAATCTTTGGATAATTTTGATAATTTTGGAAGTTGATGGTCCGAGAATAAAACTAAATTATTCAATGCTGCGCACAACCAACAAATAATAGCATCTAGGAGGGATCTAAAGTGTAAAAATGAAGAACATAGTTGAAAGCTGACAAGTTGAAATGGAGAAAAACTACATTCTCTGTAGGCCAATGGCATAGGTTTTATCATCACCAAGGCTGAAGGATGAGCAAAAGACAAAAGTAGGTGTGTGAAGAACAGTGGCTCCTTGCTGACCTGCAAGAACCCCAGGAAATGTGGGTGGGGTACAGGAGGCACAGGAGGAAGCTTGGCAGAGATGAGGCTGGAAGGGAGGTAGCGACCAGATCAGGACTGTGTCAGGAAAAGGAAGCTGAACTTTATCCAAAAGCCAAGGTTAACCACAACAGGCTTTAAACAGACTAGACACATAATCATATTTGTGGCAGTGCTGATAAGAAGGCTGATTAGAAGACCACAGCAAGACCAGGCCAAAAAAATAACAATCCACTGACCAATGCAACAGCGAGAATGAATGGGGAAGACATGGGAGAAACACTGAGACAGAAGAAACACACCAATGGGTATAAGAATTGTATGGAAGAAGAAAGCAGGTATTTTCCCCTAGGCTGATGATGGTTCAAAGGAACAATGTCACTTAATTGATGCTGTATCTCACTAGGTGGGACAAATTCAGGCATTGAAAGATGAGTTAACCAGTTGCATTTGAAGGTCTCATGGAACTCCCCCAACCCAAGTGGAGATGTTTTCAGTATAAGGCTGAGAACTCAGGAGGCAGGTTTAGACTGTAGATGGAGAATTGGTGGTAATTTTTAAGTTGTAAGAGGAAAAAAGGACACTTAAGGAAGCTTCTGGAGTGAGGAGCAGTGTTCAGAAAACCACAGTTAAGATCAAGATAGAAAATGAGGCCAAGCTGAAAGGGACAGCTTGGCGAGATATAGGAAGAAGGGTTGCAAGGTGGGAGGGGCTACACAGAGGTTCCAAGTTCAGTTTCCTCTTCAGAGCAGGAAATGTGCGTGCAGGCATGTGCAGAAGATGAGGACCTAACAGAGAGTAGCAGGTAGGGATGGGAGAGTCAGCTTTTCTGGGTCACAAGGCTCACCAGGGACGAGACTCTATCAATTCTCTAGGTGCAGTATCAGCTTGCATGTAGGGCACAGAAGAAGGAACACAGGGTTCATTCAGAATTTTGCAGGTAGAAGTAACTTTAGAAACTGTCTTGCCTTCCTCTCTCCTCTTTCCTTCCCTGCTCTTGATTACTTTCCTCTCTTTCCTTTACTGTGCCCAATATTATAGACCAGTATCAAGGCAAATCAGGGCCAGGCCAACTCTTCAAGGATCAAGCCTTGTGAAGTATGTATCAACTTCAAATACCAAAGAAAAGGAGTGTATCATAGCTTCCTAAAGCAACTACTACAGGTAGGAAACATCCATTGCACTTGTTTCTGTGTCATTAAAACCAAATATGCATCTCCTCTCACAACCAAAATTTCTGAAAACTCCATCCATATGAACTTCCACCCCATCATTCCACCAAAATCACTCCTGTGCAAGCCAACAATCATCTCCTCGATGCAATATCCAAATAAGCCTTCTTTCTATATCTAGCTTTCAAGAACTTTCTACATCATCTGACACTGTTGGCCTCTTTCTTGGAACTTCTCTTAGCTGACATCGCTACTCTTTTTCCTCCCACCTCTTGTGTGTTCCCAAGGTTTTAACTATTTCTTTTTTTCTTCTAGCTTTCTACCTATTTATTCCACACTCAAGAGGTAATCTGATTTCCATCTAAGATTTCAAACTTACTCCAAATCCTCATTCAGCCCAGACCGCTGTCCTGGAATCCATGGATTCCATGTGGATCAGCCTCAGGAAATGCAAACCAACATTTTGGAAATTGGACTCATCTTTGCTCCTTTCAAACCAGCTTCTCTGGCAACCAAGCCAGAATTCCAAAGTTATCTTGCACAGATCCCAGGAAATATTCTTCACTGCTCCCATGGCCTAACCCCTCTGCGGTCTACCCTTCTCTGATCCCATTGCTCTGCACTTCCTCCCATGCACCTTAAGCACCAGCCATACAGAATTTACATGCACCTCCCTGCTGGAGACTGAATATTATGCCCTCTTAAAATTCTATTGAAACCTAATCTCCAACATGATAGTGTTAGGAAGTGGGGCCTTTGGAAGGTGATTGGATCATAGGAGCAGAGTTCTCATGAATGGGATAAATAGTCTCATGAAAGAGACATTAAGCGAGGTGTGCTGGCACATGTCTATATCCCAGCTTCACTGGATCACAAGTTAAAAGACAGCCTGAGCAACTTAGCAAGACCCTGTCTCAAAATTTTAAAAATTAAAAATAAAAGAGTGTGGGGTGTAGTTCAGTAGGAGAAAGCTTGCCTAGCATGCCCCAGACCCTGGATTCAATCCCTAGTACCACTTTGTGGCGGGGGGGGGGGGGGAGACACCTCAGAGACTTCCCTTAACTCTTCTGCCATGTAAGATTTCAGCAAAAGATGCTATCTGTGAACCAGGAAGCAGGGTCTCACTAGACACCAAATACCTTGACCTTGGACTTCTCAGCCTCCACACCTGTGAGAAATGAACTCTGTTCTTCATAAACCACCCAGTCAGTGGCATTCTGTTACTGCAGCCCGAATGGACTAAGATGCTCCCCAACCACTTCCTTCTTGCCCTCTGCCTGGACATCTTAACTTCCCCTTACCAGCAGCCACTCCAGTTGTCCCTACACTCCAGCAGGATATTAACTCCTCCTATCTCCAGCAGGTGCGCACTGCCTTGCCTCAGCTCTTCAATTCTCCCAAACAATGACCCTTTAGAGGGGGTGCTGTCTCTCTCCAGCCTCTGAGCCACTTGAGGACAGGGACATGGTGCTTGGCCACTGGTAGTCAGTCATTTAGTTTGCTGAAGACTGAAGTATTGATTGAATGAAGAAAAGTTTCCCTCTGAGCCAACTACTGCTAAGCTGTATTTCTAAGGGATGACACATAATTGAGTAGAAAAGTGAAAAGAGAGGAGTGCCTATGGAGGACAAAGGGGTTGCTGCTCTTCTGAGCTCCCTGGCTCCTTCCTCTTCACTGGAAGGAAGCCCACTGCACAGGAAATCGTGACTTATTAACAAGAGACAGCAGAGAGTGCCGATTTGGAAATCAGACTAGGCTAAGCAATTAATTTATCATTTGTGAGTCTGTTTCAGGAAGTTGAGGTCTGATTTCCCTTATCATAACTAATGTACCTAATCCCTCCTGCAAAAATGGGATCAAAGAGTTTCTAGACATTATCTAATAGAAGAATAAAACCTGCTCAAATATTTTTAAAGGAGAGCAAGAAAACAGACAAAGAAAGGCTGACCCTGATGTTTAATGAAAATATATCTCATTATAACCTAACATAATGTCAGGTCCATAGTAGAAGTGAATATTAATATGCAGAAAACTGCAAAGTGTGGCATTCTGAGTCTCAGAATGTGGCCTTCCAAGTCAGGAGAATACCTTTCTTGGAATGGGGCTACATCCTCACTGTTTTTTGCTTCTACTCTGAACATTTGCTAAGGGTACAGTAGTTTATGCTATGTTTCTGTAATGTCACCAGGTTTCACAAGCATTAGATTAACCCTTCCTACAGCTAAAACTGGAAGGGGTGAAATGGGAACACATGGATCCAGTTATAATTGGAGATTGTGTCTTGGCTTTCAGAAGGGACCTTCTTGGGCAAGTTATTTTATGAAAGCATCCCATCTCCCAAAGACACTGAAACCACATCAAAAGCCAAGCTCAGGCTGGGGATGTATCTCTGGTAGACCACTAAGTTTGATTCCCAGCACTCAGAAGAAAAAAAGCCAAGCTCAAATGTTTAAATTATAGCTAACCTAGAAGCAAATTTGCCTATATTTTTATTGGTGACAATGTTATGACTAAGGTAATCTGACGGTGATGTCCTGCACACCTCTCTTGAAGAACTCACTGATGTCCTCAAGGGGGCACTATGTCACATAACAAGTACAGAATGTTACCAAAGTTCAATTTCTTTCCATTAGTTTGATCCCTGGTCTCCCAGACATTTCTTCATACCAGCTCCCCTGCTTTAGACCTAACTTACGCATTCCACAAGTGCAGGAGTAAAATAAAAAGGATAGGAAAAAAATGTCTACTTCATCTTCAGTAATAGCTTTTATAATGCAACTGAGACATAATTGCATAAATTTCAAATGCAAGAAAAAGCATTGATTTTACAGTTGAGTGCACTTGTTTAAACAGTCCTAAAACAGGACTTCAGAACTACATGATATTACTTAGTAATGACAGCTTTCTATAGCCTTGGTTTTTCAGGAAATTATACCTGAAGTGGAATATTTCTAAGGTTTCAGGCCAAAATAAAACATATCTAAAACCCTCAGATCATTAAGTAATTGAATTAAACACTGTGAGTTTATTGAATTTCCTCTCCTACATCTGTGAGCAGCAGCATAACCTAGGGGCACAACGACTGTCAGAATTTAACAAGATCTCATGGAAAACTCAAGCTTTTGATATTCTCCCCTATATTGAGGGCAGTTACTGATGCTAGGCCCACACTCCCACAGGTGCAGGCATTGTGCGAGGTCTCTGGGACCAGAAGACAGGAAGGAGGACAGGAGCTCAAAGGAACAGTGTGGAAGATTCTCTACCTGAAACATTTTCCTGGGGAGTATGAGATCTTTCCTCCATTGGGATTTAGAGCTCTCTCAGGAAAGCATGAAGATAAAAATGGCACTGGCTAAGGCCTTGGAAACCTGAAGAGACAAGTTTGTTTTGTCTTCTTCTACTAGATATTGAATTTCTGAGCATAAACAAGTAAGAAAGAAGAGATCACCCAAAAAATATTTTTCTAATTTAAAAGTGAGTTAGAGAAATAAAATTATTCTCAGAAGAGTCTACACATATCCAAGCAAATCTCCAAGCACTTGAAAGTTTTTGATCCATAAAATTAAGACCCTTGCCTCCATGGTACAACCTGTCAGCTCTCTTCTTCCCCTCCCCCGCATTTGCAATCTGCCCCCTCCCCAGCCCCATTTTAGCTGGAGGCTAGCAAAGAAAAAGATGGGGAGTAGAGGGCAGTCATGAACTTCTACCAGACACTAAAGTTACATAAAATGATGTACACATCAGAGCAAAGGCAGTGTGACATGTAGAACTCTGCTGAATCAAAAGCTTTTTCACCAGAACATGTATTTTCTAAGCCACTCCAGAAATCTAAGAGTTATAGCCAACATAGGGTCTTCAGCCTTTCAGCTCTCCACATCAAGGAGCCCACCTACCAAATAAGGTATTGCTTTGGATGGCCCTATCAAACAAAAAAGCACAAGGCCCAAGGTATCCCTGTGTGGTTCTCTCTTGGCCTGCATCACTGCAGAGCCGAGTCTGGAGCTGGCAAGTGAAATGGGTTATATCCCTCAAGCCTTCTCCCAGAAGCCAAGCAAGACAGACATTTGGTCCCCGCTATAACTCTTGAATTTTGAGAGCCCAGAAGTTCTAAGAAAAAGACTTAGGTTCCTTCCAGGACACTAAGTCCGATCTCTTCCATACTGACCTGTACCCTTGCCTCCAACCTTTCCCCTGTTCCCTTTTGCTCATCCCTTCCTCATTGCCATAGTGAGGAGGAAGAGGAAATGGAGCTCAGTCAGCCCAGAACAAACTGGAAAAGAAACAAAAGTAGAAAGAGGAAAAGGAAAATAGAGGGTCACTTAAAATCTCAGAGACATGAAGAGCAAGTTTTCCATTTAGAAAGAGCAGAATGGGTGAGATAGGAAGCCAATGAAGAAGAATCTATTACAATCACCCTCCTGGGAGGGAACTTCTCAATGGGAGGAAGGAGTTAGCAAAAGCTACTGGACCAGCACCTAGCCCAGGAGAAGTAGAGCCAAGAAAGTGGAGTTAGTAATTCTTCATTAAACCTTTGGGACAAGATAAGGTTTCTAGAAATCAGGGAGAAACTTTCTCTCATCTATTTTCTCTCTACAGAGAAAGGGCAAAAATGTCAGAAAATGGATGAGCAAATGAGCAAAAATCCCGTATGACAAATGCACTTGCAAAGTAAGACGAATCATGTGGTGCAGCAGCCAACTCAAGGCCGCAACAAGCAGAACAGGAGAAACAAACACATTAGCACAACTCCTGTGATGCTTCAAACTTGGGGAACACAAACTAGGAGTCCAGCAATCAGAGCAAAGAAACTACAGAGACTGTATGCTTTACTTCCAGAACACAAAAAACTCTTACTAACTGAAGAAAATGGCCAGTAATCTCACAAAGGTTGTATAATTTGCTTCACCTAGGAATTCCACTTTGACTTAGTCTTTCATTCCTTGCTCTGGGTATCTGATGTGATAGCGCCTTAGTTCAGTGCTTTATGTGGTGAAGAGCCCTGAGCCCAACAAAGTGAAATATCCCCCTCTAGGGTGAGTTCCAGCCTAGATCTAGGGCCAGCAAACTGCAGTGCACAGGCTAGGAATTTTTTGCAGATTTACACAGTTAGAAAAAAATCAAAAGAATTGTATGCTCTATTAAGTAAAATTCAAGTTTTAGTGTCCATAATAAAGTTTTATCAAACACAATCAACCATATTCAATGGTATATTGTCTATGGCTGCTTTTGTAATAAAACCGCAGTGATGAGTAGTTGCATCAGGGAAACATGGCCCACAAAGCCAAAAATATTTACTGGCTGGTCCCCTACATGAAATGTCTGTTGACATCTAGATACCTGGAATTGTTACCACGATAACTTTTACCCGAAATTGGTCAGACTTCTCATCAAACTGTTAACAGAGAACTCTTGAAAAGGTGAGAGGAATATCTGAAAGATGCAATAGAACTTGGGTTCGCTCCGCAAGGCTGGGGGTGCCGCGGGGGACTCACCAGTAGAAATGCTCCTCCACCATCTTGGTCACCGCTCGCGACACAGCTCTTTCATGTGGGCCAAGGTTTTTGTTTAAATTCACTCCAAGTTTCTCTTCCAGAAAGTCAATTATGAATTCTGTGCCAGAAACTTTTTCATTATTATATTCAATCCAAGGCATTTTCCCTTGAGCAGAGAGTTTTCCACCAAAATAGTTCTAAACAGAGTATATTTTTAAAAAGAGAAAAACATTATTTAAATTCCACTGTATGTTTAACAGAAACAAACATTCTAGCTTTAACCTCATAGCAACATACCAATTTACTCTGATAAACTCTATCATGGATTTTGGATTCTGGTTTATTGAAGAAAAAAAAAAAACAAGACCTTCGGGAGGGGGCAGGAAATGGAGGGCAGGAAGAGGAGGGTTTGAAATGGTTGAAATGATCCTGGGAATGCTCAGGCTAGTTATAATGTATAAACTATCAAAAATGCAAAAGGTGAAAATGAACAATGAGGAGGCTTGTCTGAGTAGGCTACTAACCAAAGAACACATTTAAAATAAAGTATCTAACACTGGAGTAAGGCTTAATGTCACTACACAGCAAACAAGTGGTCCCCAAATCACAACCCTTAGATATCACAAATGTGCAAAATGGGCTCAGCTATAGTGCCTCTTAAAATGTAGATTACCACACCCCACCCCAGACCTCTAGCTCAGAATCTGAGGGATGGCACCCACAAATCTGTGTTCTTGACAATCTCCCCTTTGATTTGTATGCATGCTAGAAGGGCAGTGTCTAATAGGACTCTGACCCCAAAACAGGGTAGGCAGTTGGGGTCACACACTTTATAAACACCTAAAATTACAAAGTGACATACATTGCCAATTTTACAAACAAAATCCTAAACCACATTGATGGAGGGTACTCTGTGGTAATAATCCATGTCTTCAGTTTTCTCAATTATCTAGGTCATGTAGACCTCAAAGCTGATTGTTAAAATCAAATTTTCTGCAGTCTATAACCTAAATTTATCAGATTTTTACAAACTCTTCCTTGTACTTCATACAAATAGTCCAAACATGGTTGGATAATCACAAATACTGGCTCCTAGGACAGTGCAGGTGTAAATGTTAAATGTTATAGGCACTTTGAAACCGTGACAGCTGCTTAAAAAATTATATATACACTTGTCTTATAATCAAACCATTTTACTCCTAAGCATTTATCCACAAGACAAAAAAAGTATATGTCTGTACAAAAACTTATATGCAAAAGTTCATAGAAGATTTAGTAGCAGTTATCAGACACAGGAAAAGACATAAATACCCTGAAGAAGTAAGTGAATGCCAAGCGCAGTGGCACATGCCTGTAATTGAAGCTACTCAAGAGGCTAAGCAAATCCAGCCTGGACAACTTAGTGAGATCCTGTCTAAAAATAAAACTTGAAAAGGGGTGGAAGTGTAACTTGGTAGAGCACTTATCTAGCATGCATGAGCCCTGGTTCAGTGCCTAGTACTACAAATAAATAAATAAATAAATGGAGATAAATGAATAAACAAATCTAACATATCCTACTCAGTCAAAAAAGGAAAGAACTATTCATACAATGACATGAATGAATCTCAAAATAATTTTGCTACATAAAATTAGCCAAATAGTAGGCTGGGGATTTAGCTCGGTGGTTCTGCCGCCTGCCTTGCAAGCACAAGGACCCGAGTTCGGTCTCTGGTACCAAACAAACAAAAAATAGCATAGGCATGTACACATCATGAGTTTCCATTTTTAGAAAACTGTAAAAAATGTAATCTCATCTATAGTGACAAAAAGTCATTTAGTGGTCATTGCGCACAGTGTGGGACAAGATGGGACAAGAGTAAGAAGAATTTCAAAGAAGCACAAAGAAATTCGAAGACAATGACTACATTCATTATCTTGATTACGGTAATTACTTCATGAATATTTACCTATGTTAAAATTTATCAAGCTACTACACTTAAAATATGTGCAATTTGTTGTATGTCAAGTATATCTCAATAAGTTGTGGGTTTTTTTTAAAAAAAGAACATAGCATTAATAAATTTTAAATATAGCAAACTTTTATATGTTTAAACTATTTCTCTAGAGTAGACATCAGCAAAGTTTTTCTATAAAGATTCAGGGAGGAAATGTTTCAGGCAGGCCACACAGTCTCTATAGCAACTTAATTCTGCAGCCAAAGCAAGAGAGAGCAGCATGGACAATACACACATGAATGAGCATGCTGGGTTCCGATAAAAGTTTACTTACAACACAGAAATTTGAATTTCATGTAATCCAAAATTGTCTTTTTACTATATTTCCAACTATTTAAATACAGAAGCTCTTCTTCACTCACAGGCCTGATTTGGCCCACAGGCTGTCATTTGCCTAAATGTACTCATTTACCTTCCCCACTTCCCAAGGAAACAAAATTAAAATTAAGGAACCATTTGGATCAAGAACCAGACAAAAAGACATCTCTTTGTAACAGTGCATTAGAACAGAAAACTCAGTGAAGACCCTTTCTAGAAGACCAATGACCAAATCCCTCTTTAAGGACTGAAATTCCAAAATGTGCACACAGATGGAAACAATTGCTATTCATTGTATCAAACATGAGGATTCGCCAAGGTGACTATTGTTCAAGTTGTTCTTGCTCAAATCACAACAAGATTTGTGTGTGGCTATCGTGTCTCTTCAGGGTAGCCCACCCTATTATTTTTTTCTCCATTTTTCCTATTTTTACTTGGCCCAAACTCACTCTGCAGAGCCTGTTTTTTCTTAACTTTAATAAAATGTGAAACTTAAAAAGAAAAAAAAAGATTTGTGAGTGCCTTTCATAAAAGCAAAATAATATACCTTAACCATGGAGGATAAAAACAGAAAACTGCAAAAATTCTAAGCTTCTCTTTGTCTAGGAATTATGCTTCTTGCATAGTGTGTATGGTAGATACTAAATATGCCCGGCCGATGAATTGCCCTCAAGTGACATAACAAGGTTATGACAGGATATCATGTCCCTCAAGGTCAGGGCAGTCTTTGTGCCCACAGGAGTGAGCTTAAGCTATGCTTGAGGGTCCTGGGCTTTTCAAACTAGTAGTTAATATCACCTTTTTGGAAGGCTGAGAAGCAGAGCAGATACTAGCTATATGTTGATTACCACCATTTTTGGTAGACACTAATGGGAACTTAGACTGGTCTCTGCCACTTGATACTTTGTCTCATTGATTAAAAGACCTATCCTGAAAAAAGGTAATCACTTACTTGGACTACTGTTAGCCACATTGCCTTTGTGCAATTTAGCAAACAGGATCAGGGCTGGGGATTTAGCTCAGTGGTGTTGCTGTCTGCCTCGCAACCGCAAGGTCCAGAGTTTGATCCCCAGTACCAAAAGAAGAAAAGAAAACAGGATCTCTTCTGGGTAGCTGCAGTGCATGCCAAGGTTCACAGGTTGGAACAGTGTGGAATTGGGTGGTTTCAATCCCAGCCTTTGGCCAGGCACTGCTGTGTAGTAAGCTATGTGTACAACCATCCATACATGGCAGCCCTGAACCTTGTCCCTGATGCTAATGAGGAGAAAAAGTTACTAGTTACTGGAAAAGTTACTAGTACATTTGAGATTCATATAATTTATAGACCAAAGGTATCAGTTTACCATATAACATAGTCTCAGTTGCAGATTTCTGTTGATACCATCAGTATCTTCCTAATACATCCTCTTGTAGACTCCACTCATTCTCAGATGCAATCTATTCTCCACAATACCATCAGAAGGAACTCTTTGTAAGGTACTGAAACATAAGAACTCTGCTGCTTAAAATTAAGCAATGGCATTAACAGATCTATTCTAACCCCTCTCACACAGCGATCTAGACCCCCAGCATCTAGCTGCTGCCCAACTACCAGGCTCATTAGTTATCAGTCCCTCTGGTTTCCTGGATTCCAACTGCTCATACATAGGCACATCAATCTGCACACTCCATATTTTATAGGAATCCCTGCCCCCTAAAGTCCTATCTATCCTAATTTTCAGTTCAATTTTCACCTCATTAGCGATCTACTACCTCAGGGTACAACAATTTTCTTCCCTCCCTTCAGCCTTCCTCTATACAGTGTATACTCCTCTCCTTGCAGAATAACTCTTTACACATGTGCCTTTAGGCCACTTTCTCCCCTGAATACTTGGTACAAGCTTATCTTGACCACTTTCTAAAATCAAAGAACAGGAATAAAGATGAGTAATCAACTCTCATGTGGAAATGAAAGCTTTGGTATATTTTTTTGACCAGAAATGTTACTTTGTTTGTTAGCTGAAAAAGCAGAAAACAACATTTTAGAAGCCACTGTAATTATATCTGAGTTAAAAACTAGATGATTTTTAAAACACTGGAAAAAAGAGTTTGGACAATAATGTCTAAAGTAATTGGCAATACTGTGCATGAGATGCAGGTGATCTTTTCTTTCCCACTTGTTTTTCTGAATGTGGTTATATTACTTTTAAAATAAAAATATTAAGCAATACTTAACTTTGTTAAACATATTAAAGAATTCCTGCTCAGTTGTTATTTAAGCAATTGGAGTCTGACTAGTCTACTGAGGGTACTTCGTGAAAGTAATGTTTTCCAAGCTGATGTTTTTGCCTGATAGTCTGTCCCAGGTGAGCATGAAGCAGCTGTATACATGACATTGTTAGCACATCAGTGAAAACCATATGCTTTGGATTTTAAAATCTGGTCCCATCATTGATTCATTGTATGACCTTGGACCTCCCTGGGTCTCTCTTAGTCCTCCATGGTCCTCAGTTTCCTCATCTATAGAATGGGAGGAATGATAACAGCTGTTAGGATTAAATGAGAAAATGAACATGATGTATTTGACAGAATGCCTTCCTCTGATGTATTAACATCACCATCATCATCACCATTTTGAGATGGAGAACTTGAAACCCTAAAAGAGATTTCAGAGTCTTATGGTTCTGACTTGTTTATGTTGTGTCCTAGCTTTTTAGCTAAACTGCTATCCATTACATTAAACTATCACCAAATATCTCCCACTGGGTAAATGTGAAGTAACTGGAGCACCTTTTGCAGATTATAACATGTAGATAAATAAATCCATGTATCCCTATGTATTGTAGTTTTGTAGAACAAATGTCCTTATTTTGGGGAGATGCATGCTAAAGCATTGTAGAGTG